TGAGTAGACCTGTGTTAGTGGCCGAGGGGTCAGCAATGGAGCACAGAGGTTGCTGCCTATTTTTAGTTCAGAGGAGACTCAGCTCCCAAAAGCCATATGCCCCTTATGTGCTTTAGGCTTTTTGAACTAACCATTACTGTGCTGCAGCACAAAGTACACAACCATCAGTCATGACTAGAAACTTCAAGTGTGCAAATACTAGCCTGAGCCATGAAAAAAGCAACAGGCAGTCTATTGCTTATCTGGTGGGGTTGTTTTTTTTTCCATTGGAGAGGGTATCAACAACATCTACAGTGTGTGTTTCAGGTGCATGCAGGAGCAATGTGGAATGATATACTTTTATGTTTTTGTAAGCATGTCACCACACAGAGAAATGGATTGGATTTTAATGGATTGGCTCAGTCTACTGTGCTAATCTGTATACACAGTGGGTTAACATTCATGGTTCATTCACATTATTATATGGATTATGATGCAGTTTGGTGCAGATGTTCATGTTTTATGAGAACTGGTGAGCCACTGACTGCTCTTCTATTATCATCATCAGGTCAAACCCTCAATTTCATTTTGTCCAATACTTTTATTTACTTACAGTAGTTTTACTAATGAGTAAATGGCCAAACCCTTTACATTTCAGGAGAATATATTCTGGGTAAGAAATCTAAACAGAAAAGAGTGATGTGTTTGGCTTGTTTGGGGGGATTAGGTCAAATTTAAAGAAGTTCTCAAAATCTGCTGCGCATCCATCCATATTATGCTGCTTATCCAGGGCCTTGTTGCAATGGTAGTAAGGAAGGTAGCCCATGTCATATCCTACCACTTTTCCTTAGTCTGTCTCTAAGGGTGAGCCCAGCCACCCTGTGACAGAAACTCATTTTGGCTTGTATCAGCAATTTCAGTCTTTTCAGGAAATTACCAAAACTTGCAGCCATAGGTGGGGGCTGGAACATGGACTGAGTAGTGAATCAAGACTTTTGCCTTCAAACCCTCTTCATCAGGATAGTACACATTTCTGCTGACAGTGCACCTGTCCACATGTCAGTCTGCCCACAGTCATAAACATGATACGTGAACTCTTAGCAATTCTGTCTCATCCTAAAGGGAGCAATCCAGGTTCATTTTAATTTCTTGCACAACATTAAAATGGAGGTTTTTAACTGATGGCAGTGCTGAGACCTACCTTCACAGGTCTGTCTTTGCAGCAGGACTGTAGCTGCCTGTTGATATGCGTGAGTAACTTCAGTCAGCCTTTCACTGCATGCCGTCCTCTTTCTGAAAGCTGGTGTACCATTTACCCAAATATTTACTGCTAAAAATGATTATAAACTGAATGTGGCTGTAAGAAAGACCTTTAAGTGTCCCATTACTGTTTATATATATTTACTTGTGCTAACGTTTGCCTTTGTATTACTTACATTTAGGGGACTGAAACCTGTTAACACAAGCACTGTGGGGACTCAGCCTTCACTGAGCCTTCACAAATCACTGAATTTTAGGGTGGCAACATGGTTTACGGTTAGGGTGAGGTTAAGTGTTAGGGTCAGGGTTAGGGATAGGCAAGTAGTTATGGTTAAGGTTAGGATAGGTCTACAGGAAATGAATGTAAGTCAATGTCAAGTCCCCAAAAAGAAAGAAAGCACAGTTTGTGTGTGTGTGTGTGTGTGTGTGTGAGAGAGAGAGAGAGAGAGAGTAGGTAGATCCCATCATATCAATGGTGGGCTGTTCAGCATGGAGCATACAGTAACTAAAAGACCATTCAGTTATAAAAATAAAACCTATGAAAATTACCTGTGGGTCACTGAGTTTGTTTATTAGTGTGGTCAGTGCAGAGGAGTAGGCAGTCTTTAATCTACATTGCTGTATTTAGAAAAAAGGGCAATGAGGTCCTCTAAGATACAGTTTCAATAAGAAAAAAGTTTGTGCTTTTTTAACTCTGTAATAGCTCAAATTAGGAAGGTTACTTTCAGATAATAAATCATTTAGAATATGAACAGCCTTCTACCTGTATTGTGCTTTTCTATGCACTGAGGCACACTGAGAGTGTTGTCACCCTATATATCCATTCACACACCCTATGTGTTCATTCACCAGAAGCAACTTGGGGTTCAACGCCTTACTCCAGGATATCTTGACATGTGACACGGACACACCGGGGGTCGAACCACCAATCTCCTGAGCCACAGCTGTCCCTGGTATGGGTATACTGTACCAGTTAGGGCAGGTGGCTGCTCTACGATGTAAGATAAGAAGACCTATCTCCTATCTCCCCACAGTTTGGTGTGCTTCTCTAAGAGGTGGACTCATTTGCAATCAAACACATAGAAACGAAATTCTTAAAATGTAGCTCCCCCACCAACATGCGTCCTACTGCAGCAGAGAGCAAAGGGAGCACTTCCTGTGAGGGTATGACACTGCACAAAAGCCCCTCTAGCCATAGCCTGACCCCAACCAGAAATATCACTCACTGCTTACTTGGAAGCCGGCTGGGAACATAGGTAGCTCTGTGTGTGTATGTGTGTTGTCTCCCCTGTTTTATTGACCTTTGAGCTTGAACTTAACTGAAAACAGGAACATTTACTGTGTTTCTTTATTTACATGTGTTATTGTTGTGATAATAGTGGTCACAGTTTGCTATTGTACTGGGATGTGAAGTGGCCTCAGAGAGGAGTTGAGCAAAATGTTGCTAAGAATACAGTGAAAATATATATCTTTGTTTTTTACTGCTGGATGCAAGATGTCTCCTTTGTCACTGGAAAGTGAAACCTCAAACACAAATGATAATATACAACCTTTGTTCCCACATGTGACCCATATAACCATTCCACTGACAGTACCAGACCTTTGTCATCATATTCTGACTGGAGTGGGACTTTAAAGGAGTCTCAGATGTGTTCATCTCACCTCTGTTCCACCCACACTTATTGCCTAAATGTTTTAAACATTGTGGCTTCAGTAATTTAAGAAAGATGACAGTGAGTGGTGACCCAGCTTAAGCATCAAAACATCCCTTCAAAACGCTATGGGTGATGTCACATACACAGTGTTTTCCCACGTAGTGTGTGGCCATGTGTATAATTTAATATGCTGAGTATTACTGTGCAAAAGTCTCTGCACTGTGCAGTAGAGCCAGTGAATGACGGATTAGTCTCCCAAACTGTAGATACATGTCATTAACAGGCTAACCCACCTTGCTCAGAAAATAAAAACTGGTGAAAAACAAAATGTAAAACAAGCATAAAGTGTCTCAGAAAGTGCTGGGCCACCAGAACAGCTTCAATGCACCTTGGCATTAATTCTCCAGCTCTCTGAATTCAACTGGAGGGATGTAGACCATTCTTCCAAAGGATACTGGGCGTCAGTCCAAAATCTCCCATAGGCTTTCAGATGGGTTGAGAACCGCTGACTGTGAAGGCCATAGCATGATGATGATTCACATCATTTTCACACTCACTAAACCTTTCAGTGACTCCTCATGCCCATGCACCGCTCAGGATAGAAATGTTTCATCGTAGGTCAAGGTGATCAACTTTGGGTACAGCCCAAGTTTCTTACAGTATATGATTGCTCCTCACTCCAAGATCCTCACTTGACCTGGAAGTCCTTCCTGGTAGAAGGATGGTCGAGGACCTCCCAAGACATCAAGGTGAGTGACAAGACAAAAGATCAGTCTCTGTTCCAGATGTCATCCTGCACTCCTCATTCCATCTAGAGCCAGATGTTTATCATCACACTCCCTCTCTTCTGCCTCTCCTTTACACCCTCATTACACTCATACTTTCCATGTCTTTCTTTTTTTATTTTTTCGGGGGTGGTGGTGGGGAGACTGACCGGTCACCATGGCCAGAGGCCCAGGTTCCTTCCTTGTGGGCTTGACCTTTCTTAATGAAAAGACTAAACACAAAAAAATCTTAGCTGGTCTCATGGTCTCTCATGTCTGTTACTCTGAGGAGGCAGCAGAGCAGTCAACCTTAGTCCTCAGCCAGCCATATGTCCTGTAAGGCTGGTTCGAATAAGAGCAAAGATAACTTAAAAAAAACATTGAAATGCTTGAAGAAAAAAAGACAATATGCACCAGTTTCTTTTTCTTTGTCCTTCTCTTTCTGTTTCACTCAAAGTCAGTGATGGTAGAGTAAGACAAAATATGAGTAGTGAAATTTTCTTTGACTCCATTATTCATGTACATTCAGCTGGCACTTTATTAGGTACACTTAGCTAAAACTAATTCAGTGTAATACAACAGTCCAGCAATAAATCCTCCTTTTTCAAATGTGATAATATTCAGTTCAGCTCCACATGTTCTAACGTGATAATACTGCTGAATAAAACTCAACAAAATGTAAACATTAAAACCTTCATGAAAAGAGGCTTTATGGCAGAACTACTGCATTAGACTGCAGAGTGTAGCCAGGCAGCCCTGGGTGTGTGTATGTGTGTGTGGAGGGGCTTGGGGGGGGGGGTGAAGCCACATCATCTCTATGTGGCCTAAACAAAATGTTTATTAGTAAAAAAAAACTTAAAAAAAACATGCTTTTTGCATGTTTGTTGCAAAGGGTCATCACATTTCTGCCAGGCAATACAGACTGCATCTGGTTAAATTTAGGCGTGACAATAAGTTACAGCTACATTCATCATGTTTACACTTGACTGGACTTGTAGAATAAAAGTGGTGCATCTGTGGAAGCTCACACGGGTCAAGATGGAAGCGCCTGACAAACTATTGTAGAGGTTGGTGGAACTAATTTCTTCCCAGTCCGTTAATAGCATCATTGACTGAAGCGCACTTAGTGTTATTTTCTCACCTCCTGCCCGCTGCAGCCTGCAGCAGGGTGCACATGGACACGCCCCTGACAGGGCTGCAGCGGCTGAATAGGCCACTGACTTCAGCCAATTCAGCCTTTAATCAAATCGGTCTGGTCCCACCCAGCTTTTGTCACAAAATAGTCCTTTTCAGATTTTTCCCTCCCTCCCTCTCTCTCTCCCTCCTCCTCCTCAGCATCAAGTGCAGCTTGAGCGGAGCGTCCCGGCTGCCGACTTTCTCCTAGCTTCTTTGCAGAAGCAATGAGGAGAAGAGAGCCATCGCCGTCTGGGATGCAGTAGTCTAACACCTATTTTCCTAGTGGAATCATATTTGCATATATCCAGGGGAAAGAAACGACACTACTGTACAGTACGGATTTGGCAGATCCATCAATCGGATGCAAGCAGGTAGGACGTCTTTGTCGTTTTTCAGGATCTGGATGGAGCCATCGGGGAAATACCTTCTTTCTTGCTTTATAGTTTGAAAATGTTTGTTTTCGTTTTTCTGAAGCTTTAAATTAGGATTGTTGCTTCTTCTCTGTGTGGAGGCATCTTTAATTTGATTTTATAGCCCAAGTGCTAGATACACAATAATGTTCACGTTATTTTTAGGCGTTTGAAGTAGCCTATCATTATTAGTATTTTTATTATTGTTGTTGTTACTGGATGCTAGTTTTCAACATTCATACGTAATTATATATTTTAGGTAGCCTATATTTGCATGGGTCTTTCCACAAATCCAGATGTGGTATTTTGTTTTCCCGTTTTATTTATGTTGATTTGCATTACACTGCTGATATAGTAATAGGGTTATGTCTTATTTAGAAATGTGAAAATACATGGATAGACTGTTACAAAGACATTTTGAATTTGACCTAAATCAGACTTACTTGGAGCGTTTTGTTATTGTAAACACTTCATTAACAGTGCTGCTCTGATGAGTCCCTGGTTGTTCTAACACTCTGGAAACGGTTTGTTTAAAGACGTGAAAACAGGTCAAAATGAATGAAAACGCAACACAATTACACAAAAGAAGCGGATCCATGCTTAAACTGCGCCATAGCGCCATCCTTTGGTCACATTGTCTCCTGGGTGCCTGCACCAATTGTGACTCCCTCCACTCAGGGATGGAGAGGACACAGCTTCTTGTTCAGCTGAGTGCAGTGGAAAATAGTTCAGTTGAAATGAGAGCCTTTTATGACCAAGAGCCATCATGACAGCATATCATTTTCCAGTCTGAATAAGTGCAGGCTTGTGTTATGTGTGAGTGTGGTGTGTGAAGCTGAACAACATCTAAAGGTCATCATGTATTCTCATTTGTTGGGACTGGTCTACAGCTCTTGAGAACTCATATTTTATTATCATCGTTTTGGCTGGTTAGATGCTAACCATTGTGTTTTATTGGACACTGTGTGGTAAACTTGAGCCAAAAAGTCTCCTGTGCCGTCAAACCCAGCTGCATGGCAATGCACTCGCTGACAAACAGACCTGGAAAGTAAAGGGAAAGCTTTGTAGTATCAACTTAAAAGTGGAATTTGTGTAGAATCACTGCAGTGGATGACAGCGCACTGATTGGGTCCACTGGTGATGACAAGCCAGGCAGAGTTTCATTTTTGTGCTGCACAAACAGCTAATTGAAAGGGAATGTGTGTCTGTGGATCAACTGGTGGCTAATTTGGCTGTTTTCCAAAGGTTTGTGCTCCAGCTGGACACTGAAGATTTCCGCCTGTCTGTTACACTCCATTGAAACCCCTCAAGTAGCCAACAAACAGCTATTACGCTCATGCTGCAATGCTCCATCATCCAGATTCATTTCTCTCCTTGTGTGTGGAAACATCTGTGTGACTTTATCAAAACAGCCATGCTGACATATTGAAAATATCATATAGTTGAGTGATGGTCTGCTGAATCTATTAAAAAGCACCCAGACTGTCATTTTCTTTATAGAATTATCGGGAATATTGGCAACATCACACCCATACAGTAGACACATGGACCAGTTGTACGTCTGCAGCCTGCATAGTTTCTATATTACCGTAGAAGCATTTGTATGCATGGTCAAGGAGTGGTGTGCAGTTAAGGAAACCAGATATAGTCATTACTGAAGGAAAAGGTTAACCATTGTGGCAAACCTCCAAGCCACTGTCTCAGCCCATTCAGTGGATCAGGGTTCGTCCTCTCGCCGCAGCCTCCAGCAGGACATAAATCTCCTCTTTACCACACAGCTAATGTAGCAACACTAGAAAAATGTTTCAAGAACTTATGAATTATGAATAATGACACCTTTTTCAAAAAATCTGAAAACCTGAGCATTTGGAAGAGTTATAAAACACTTATAAAACAGAGGACTGTCCACTGGAGTATGCTGTTGTGATAATCTAGAGCTCTGGGCTCAGTCAGTGTTTTTAACATTCTGGGCTACACTGCTGTCCTATTGTCTTAATGGGTACATGAAACAAGGAGGCCATTTACTGAGTATTCTGATTCCAAACAAGATCGCTGTGTGTTATTTCACTTCCTTGACAGAGGTGTCTGAATCATTACTGTCATAAACCAAATTATTCAACTTATGCAATCCCCCTCACTGTTGTCAGTCACATCAGTCACTGCAGATTGTTGCAGAGCTAATAACCTACATTCACATGACTAAGCCATGCCAGCAACTAGGCTGTAGGACAGTAGAATGGTGGTGCATTGAGCCAAATGCTAACATTATCATAATGACAATGCTAACATGTTC